ATCCTCTGCTTTATTAACATGGGCACTGAAGTGACTGTCATGGAATATGATTATTATGCTCAGAGATTCAGAACTAGAGAACAACTGGACCCCTCCTGGCTGTCCCTTAAAGTGCCCAATAACCTGCCCATCCTAGTGGAGGGTGTCATGTGGGTGAGAATACAGATAGAAGACTAGGTGGCAGCTCTACCAAGCCTGCTGGAGATGAAGAGGAACAGAGGTCCACGAATGTTCGATCTGTGGAAGAAGTCTCCTTTGAGTGGTACCTGCCTCCCCTCAAACTAAAGCCTCTGTCCCCTATGGACTATAAGGATGCTAGCCCCAGTCCTGTGTTTATGGACAGTCCAGAAGTCTTGGCTCCACAGTGTGCAAGTTCCACTGATTTTGTGTACTCTACTGATGCATCAGCTCCTAACCTGGATGGGGGGGAATGCAACTGGCTCTGCTGACCCTCATTTCCCTGAGGCTGTTGGGTCCCCAGTAAGAGATGAGGACTTTGGCTGTGACCCCCAACTAAGTCAGTGGGGCTCACCACCCAAATAGATCTAACCGTGGGCAATTACCTGCAAAGTATGATTATGAAACTGATTATGTTGTTTAGGATTTTGCTTGCACTAATATATGTGTTATTATTGTTTTATACTGCTCTTTGTTGTGTTCTATACCAGGGACAGCATCTGCCAAAGGGGGGAGGAGTTTAGGCAGGAGCAGTCTACATTCTCCACTGCAGGTGGCACTTGTCCAGAATGGCAATGCAGCTGAAGAAGGAAGTCAAGAGAAACTGGGTTTCTCTATGATTCCCTTGGTCCCCTGGAACAGAATTCTGATTGGCAACCCTGGATCCAGGTGACCCTTGTGTCCATCTTGGGTCATGCATAGTCATATCAAGTCCCTGCTCCCTGGTTTTGCAACGCTTTTGAGATGTAGGGACATTATATACCAATCTGTCAGGGACAGCACTAGCGGCAGGGAGTGGTTCCAGAGGAGTAGGGAAAGCTTAAGGCCTGCTTCTTTATCTTTAGAATGCTCCCCTTTAGGTTGGACCTGCCAGAATGCATTCCGCACTCCTGGACAGGCGCTGTCTTCAGCTTGGGCCAACTTTTCACTGAGTCTGTACTCCAATTGATGTATGTTACCAGTCCGGTGACCTTGCCCCACTGGGCTGTTGTATTGTTTATTAGTTCTGCAATACATCGGTGCCTGCATCCTGGGCCTCTGTGTTTGTTGCTGCCACACCACGCTGCACCTTCCCACATGCAAGCAGATGATTCATATATAACTGGAAGAAAATAAGACTTTCTGACAATCAAATTTGCTCAATTGCCAACTTGTGTGAATCAGGTCCAAAATGTACTTCAGCTCTGACAATTGGCAAATCTTTAAAATTAAATGCTGAAAGGCTGGAAGAAAGGGAAGGAGATTGCCAGTAGAGGAAACTTAACTAGTTAAGGCTGCTAACTGAATACCCAATAATACATAAAGTCATCAGTTATGAATGAAGAAGAATGACCTGGTTCAAGGCCATCCAGTACTGGTATAATAAAGATCTGACAACTTTAGTGATTAAGTGAATTATTCTAAGATAAAACATCAATCCAAGATTTCAGTGCTCAAAAAAAGAATCAACACCATTTTAGAGGACATCACAAAGTAGATCTTACCAATAGAAAGCAGAAATTCAGGACTTAAAGCCAAAATACAGGGAAGCCTTGTTTTCTAAACAGAGAAAACCCAGAGCAAAGTGGGGCAGGAACGGACAAGTGATCTGCACCCAGGGGTTACTTGTGACCATGTGCGGGTCAATGACCTCTGCCATCTGCTTTCCTTACTACTAAACCCTGAACTCTGCTTTACTTACTACTGACCTCTGCGTTGCATACTACTGACCTCTTCACTCTATGTTACTACCGACCTCTGCACTTTGTCTTACTTATGCCTGACCTCTGCACTCTGCTTTTCTTAACCACTTGCCTACTGGGCGCTTTCACCCCCTATCTGCCCAGGCCAATTTTAAGCTTTCAGCGCTGTCGCACTTTGAATGACAATTGCCTGGTCATACAACACTGCACCCAAACAAAGTTTTTAGCTTTTTTTTAAACATATAGAGCTTTATTTTGGTGGTATTTAATCACCTCTGGGTTTTTTTCATTTGTTTGCTAAACAAACTAAAAAATAGTGAAAATTTTGAAAAAAAAAAAGTTTTTTCTTAGTTTATGTTATAAAATTTTGTAAATAAGTAATTTTAATCCTTCAGTGATGTGCGCTAATGAGGCTACAGTGGTGGGCACTGAAAGGCTGCACTGATGGGCACTGATAGGCGGCAATGATGAGGAGGCACTGATAGGCATTGACAGGCATCACTGGTGGGCATTGACAGGCATCACTGATGGGCACTGATAGGCAGCACTGACTGGCACCGATAGGTGGCACTGATAGGCAGCACTGACTGGCACTGATAGGAAGCACTGATTGAAACTGTTAGGCGGCACTGACTGGCACTGATTGAAAGTGTTAGGCGGCACTGACTGGCACTGACTGTCCATCTAACTATTGCACCAGTGTTTCTGCTGAGTCCCTGTCTAACAATTTGAGCTAGAGCTCCCCCTAGCTAACTAGGAGGGTGCTGCACTTACTACTGACCTCTGCGCTACATGCTTATGATCTCTGCACTCTGCCTTACATACTACAGACCTCCGCAATCTGCCTTAATTATTGAAGACCTCTACACTCTGTCTTACTAATTCCTGAGCTAAGCACTCTGACTTTCTTAATACTGAACTCTGCCCTCTGTGTTACTTACTACTGTTTCCTGAACTCTGTTTTACTTACTACTGACCTTTGACCTCACTGACAAGTGAGCAGATGGTAAAACGTTAGATGACGAGTTGCTGCTTTGCTTGTTTGTGTATCAGCAAGTAAGCAGGACCTAAACAAGGGGGAAAGGAGCACAGGAAGGACAGAGAGCTTAGTCCAGGAGTTCCTTGTGTACGACTGTGTGGGCCAGTAGACCAAGAGAAAAATGGGCAGGATGGACAAGAGAGTTGCACCCAGGGGCTGCCTATGGCTGACCTCTGTCTTACTTCTGCAGTCTGCAGGTGCAATGCTCTGCAGGCTTCTTAGAAAACAAAATAATAAATACTTTTTTTACGTGCAAAAATAAAAATGTGCATTTTTTTTTTCAAAAGGGAAACATCCTTATGGATCCCATAGTTTTATGGGACTTGTAGTTTTGCAGCTTTCCCTGTACAATGCAGCAGTCATATTGCTGAACTACACTTCCCAGTGTCCCTTGCGGCAGTCCTCTGTTCTCCTCCTGCTGCTTATTGACTGAGTGGCAGCTGCAGGAAAGAGGGGGCAAGTGGGTTCTAACACAGACACATTTTCAGCTGCTGCTGCACTCTGTCCCCCTGTGCAGCAGCGGCAGTGGGGGAAGCAAGAGGAAGAAACTGTGATTGCAGCAGTGCCGGCAGGGAGGAGGGAGAATACAGCCCACAGCACAGCTACCTCTCTCAAGGATCCCTCACTGCCCATAGTGGCAAGGGGTGTGTGGAAGATCATGGGATACAGCCATTGGCTACACTAATGCACACGGGGTGATTGGGGTGTGCCCAGGCACATCTGGCATACCGTGTGCCCACCTACAGTATGTTCTACAGTGACAAGTGTCTTGGCTGAAAAATAAACAGTGGGATGTGCAGATCGGTCAGACAGAGACATGGTCAGCAAACAGGCAAAAGATCAGTTCAGGAGGAAGACAGAAACGTGATCAATAAAAAAGGACAGGGTCAGTTTAGGTGGCAGGCAGAGGCCACACTGCCCTGGTATGGTGGTGATCACAACACTGTTGCTGGCTTACACTGGCACTGGTTTGGATTTGGTTGTCAGGAACACTGTTGCCGAATGCACTTGACTAGTGACAGTTGCACTGTTGTGGCTAGTGATCAGGAACACTGTTGCTGACTACACTGGCTCTGATGACACTGACACTGGTGTGGTTAGTAATGTTAATAACATTTATAAAACATATAAATCAAACATGTTCAAAAGGGAGCTGTTTAGAGTACCACATCTGTAAAAAAAATTGCCAAACAATTGCCAGCCTAGAGTACTTTTAAAGTTATTGCATTATTATGGGACTAAAAAAAACCAAATAATTTCCTTGTGCTAGCAAAAACAGAAAATAAATAAAGACTGCTGCATCCACTACACAATCTAGATACTGGACGTAAAACTACTTCAAAAAAAGGGGGTGTGCTGTCTCTTAAAAATTCCAAAGTGCAATTGTGCATACACTATAACCATATCAAACCATATCATTATAGAGCAAATTGATAATGTCAGCTCAATATATACAATAAATATAAAGATAACATCACAAATAAGGTTGTGCCAAAACAGCACACTCAACTTTCAATAAAATAAAAAAAAAATAAACCTAGAAGAGTATATATCCATACAGATGGACAAATGTGTGTTGACAATAATAAGCGGAATGCCTAAATATTTTAGAAACACACAAACGTAAAAGGTGTATGTGATATAACCCAGTACTCTACTCTCAAAATAGAAAAAACATTATAAAAGTGTATATGCGTACAGATGGATAAAAGTTAAATGAACAAGCATAAATATTGCAAACAGAGTTGAAGATGAATAAAGCAACCAAATGTGCATAATATCCATACATAGGAAATAAATATCCCGGTGAACAGTCCAAAATCAGGATCAAAAATCCCAAAGGAAAAGACACACTTCAAAGTGCAAGATGGAGAGCATTCAGTGCTGCAGGAATAGAGGGTGCCAGGAAATCCCACCACCCGTATGTAAGGAGAACTCCTTACCAGAGACACCGATCCCACATAGAGATCATGAAGCGCCTTGCTGTCCCACAGCACAAAATATTCAGACATGCCACTCCATCTGGATATGATATAAGTGTGCTTAGCACAGAGGAGATAAAAACAAGAATTGACCACCATAGTGCAGTATGTGAAACCAGGGCTTGAAATTTCCACTCGCCTGCTCGCCAATGGCGAGTGGAAATTATGGTGGGGGCGAGTGTGTCCCCCAGGGCCGTCTTGCTGAGCAGGCTCGGAGCTCAGGCTGGATCTGTCATTGGCAGTGGGAGCTGTCAGACTGCTCAATAGCTGAGTGCAGTGAAAGCAAAGCAAGGAGTGTGTGCTGTGCTCTCTGCCTCCCCCTAGAGTGCAGTACCTGGCTCTGTGAGTGAACAACAAAGTACTGCAACTTTTTATGGGGGGGGGTGTACGTGTACACGTGTGTGTCTGTGTATGCATGTACAATTGTACATGTATGTGTGTGTGTACCTAACTCTGAGGAAGGGGGTTCGTCTCCCAAAACGCGTTGGCCTATCCCATATAGGTGTTTGAATCCATTGGAATGCCCTTACGGATTGCCTGTTCTGTTTTTAACCTTTTTGGTTTGTGAGTATATTTCTACTATTTTTCAATAAATACGTGTTGTACCACGTTAATGCACGATGGGAGTGCGCCCTTGTTTGTTTTTGTGTGTGTACATGTGTCTGTGTATGTATGTACATGTGTCTGTGTGTATGTACATGTGTCTGTGCATGTGTATTTCTGTGTATGTACATGTATCTGTGTGTATGTGTGTCTGTACATGCCTGTGTGTGTATACATGTGTGTGTGTGTGTGTGTGTACATGTGTCTCTGTGCGTGTGTGTACATGTTTCTGTGTATGTATGTGTGTGTGTATGTACATGTCTGTGTGTGTGTACAGGTGTCTCTGTTTGTGTGTGTTTGTTGGAGTAACTCTAAGGCCTGGCTAGTAGCTCAGGACTTGAAATTGTAAGCCCTGTATTAAAACCAAGGGCTTTTAATATGGTAACATGCTTACAATAAAAAGACAATCACAAGCAAGGAACAAACGATGAGCATCACCGGATTCCGCCAGCGTGCATAATAGCGCCACGTGTTTGGCCCTGCCCTTGAAAGGTGAGTGTGGTGTTTTGGCACAACCTTAGTTGTGATGTTATCTTTATATTTATTTAGGTTATTGCATATATTGAGACCACATTATTATGGGACTGTTACTGCAATAGTCATAGAGACCATGGCAAATGGTGAAGCATCACTTCACTTCCTCAGGATAGGAATGATGACAAACTATACATAATAAACACAACTTTAAAGTGTTACTAAACCCAGGCCCCTGCATTCACTATATCTGATCTCCACCAGGACACAGAACATGGAAGTGCAATTATTTTAGTAAATATAAACTACTAAATACCTTTTCTCATCAGCAGTTAGAGCAGTCTTGTGACTTCTATCAGTGTTCAGTAGAACACTGGTTAAAACTTGTGGGAGGAGCTTTCTTTCCATAGGAGGATGAAAAACCCCTGACCTCTGTCTGGACAGCGCTGATTGGCCCTGTGCTGATCACATGCACTCTCCCAAGAAAAAAAAAAACTCTAGCAATGCACACTAAACTGAGCATGTGCAGAATAGCTATGGGTTCAGTCTGTCTTATGAGGAGATAAGACATGGACATTTAAACAAGAGGAGGAGCAGAGAAGACAGGATCAAATGGCCTTTTCACACAATGCAGAGTATTAACCCCTTAGGTTCCACAGTAAGTATACCAAGCATGCTTTACTGCATATACAGACTGATTTTACTGTTGTGGCTTTAGTAATACTTTAATTAGAAACATATAATTGACATTTACATCAAAATTTAAAAGCCGATATGCAGCAATAAGTACAATACTTGATGGATTGCATTATTAATGTCCATGCATGTGTAGCAATCACTAAAGGAGGCAACGTTTCTCTCTAGACAGACACAGGGGCAAGAGGATAGTAACCTCAAAAGAAGAAAACTGGTTCACCCCCACTGATCCTTTTCCTGATATTCCTGGGGAATATCTTGACCATTAAAATCAAGACTGAACGCCCATATGCACGATAATAAAATCACACCAAAATGTCCATACAAGGAACGACCAGTCAGTTATCTGTTTGTCAGTATATTGCTTTCAACAGCTGATTCCAACTGTCCAGGTGAAAAAAAATGAAGGTGCAAGCTAAAAAATGTTTATTGTATGTGAACACAATGTCCGATTTTTGCTCAATGTGTACAGTAATTGTATGGAAATAATCAAACAGAAAAAAACGTGCATTCTTAGAGGCAAAGAACGACCCAGGAGAAGGTGGCAATGAACATAGAAACCCCAACTACGACTCCACCTGCCAGGAGTTTGCATGTTCTCCCTGTGCCTGCGTGGGTTTCCTCCGGGTATTCCGGTTTCCTCCCACACTCCAAAGATATGCTGGTAGGTTAATTGGATTCTGTCTAAATTGTCCCTAGTATGTGTATGTATGAATGTGAGTTAGGGACCTTAGATTGTACGCTCCTTGAGGTTTAAGGACTGATGTGAATGTACAATATATATGTAAAGCGCTATGTAAACTGATTGCGCTATATAAGTACCTGTAATAATAAATAATACACAAGAAAGAACATTTGCCTTTGTAGGCTTAGAATTTTCATACAAGGTAATACCATTGTCCATTACATCATGATACACACCTTTATGGAAAATCGGATGATAGTTCGTCTGATTTTCTTCTAGTGTGTACTAGGCTGTACTTGTGAGATAATATGAGCTCCCAAGTGAGGCCAACAGGATGGTAGACAGCACAGTGGCTAAATGGTTAGCACTTCCACCTGGCAAGTGCTAGGGTCATTGGTTCAAATCCCAACCATGGCACCACCTGCCTGGAGTTTGCATGTTGTGCCTGTGTGGGTTTCCTCCAGGTACTCCAGTTTTCTCCCACACTCCAAAGACATGCTGGTAGGTTAATTGGATCCTGTCTAAATTGGCCCTAGTATGTGTATGAATGTGAGTTAGGGACCTTAGATTGTACGCCCCTTGAGGGTTAGGGAATAATTTGAATGTACAATATATATGTAAAGCTCTGCATAAATTGACAGCACTATATAAGTACCTGAAATAAATAGACAAGTAGAGTAAATAAAGCAAGTTGGAAAAACTCACAAGTCAATAAGAGGGCCTGGAACAATAGATAAACCCACTAGATGGCAATCCTGGCTGTGAAGATGTCTGCTTTACCTATTCTATGGGCTTTCTCTGCATTGAGTCATTTCCCAACTACTTTCAGGTCTGTGTCACAAATTTACATTAGTTGGAGATTTGCTGCCACCTTCTGGCTTCTTCTATATTTACAGGCTGCTACTATGCCACTTTTTGTTTCCTAGTCTAAACCACTTTGCAGGAATAGGCATGCAGACTTTTGATATCATTTTCTGGGTTAGAGTTCTATAGATGCCTCTATCTAGGAAAAACTGAGATTATTGACTGGTATTTTTTCATGTACTTTAAGCTGAACCAGGTCAGCTATTTTGTGCTCAATCCTTATGGATGCTTGTTTGCTCTGACTGTTTAGTGTGATCTTTTTCAACCCATACAATTCACCCTACTTGTCGACCAACGTGATGACTTCATCGGGGAGATTTTATAGTATTTCATTTAAGTGAAAAGTAAGTTCTGCTTTCATTGGTCTAGATGCCTCCTATATTGATCAAAAGTTTTTATGTTAATATGATGATTATTTTCCGTACTCAAACTATACAATTGAGCCAGGATTGCTATCTAGTGCAGCCTTTCTCAACCAGGGTGCCTTGAGGTTTCTTCAGGGGTTCCTTGGCAAAATGTCTAAAGATTGCCCAAAACTTGTATACAAGCCAGTGGGTGGACAGGCCTGCCTTTTAGTTAATAAAGCATCTCTAATGTTGGGTGTCCTACATGTGTGGATGTTGCTGCATTATAAAACTATTAGAATAGTTTTTCACATTTTAGAATGGGGTGCCCTTTTAAAATTTTGGACAGTCTTGAGGCACCCTATTTAAAATGTCCATAATTTTAAAGGGTGCCTTGGGACTACCCATAATTTTTAAAGGGTGCCTTGACTGAAAAAAGGTTGGGAAACGCTGATCTAGTGGATTCTTCTTTGGTTGCAGGTTCGCTAGACTGACATGAGTTTTTTTTTCAACTTGCGTTATTTACTCTACTTATCTACCATTCTGTTGCCCTCACTGTGGAGACCATATTGTCTCACTTGTCACCCAAGAAACTCTTTACTTTAATGGTCATAACAGTTCCTTGTTTTAGCTTGTTGGTTAACTCCCACTAATTATACTTACCTGACAATCTCTACTAGGATCCAAAAAATCAGTGATGGAGGACCCTTGTTTTTCTCTATCGGGGTGTTATTGTCCTTTTGCATTCACCTGGGAAGTAACATTGCCTATTATTGCAGCCCCTGCATGGATATTTACAATGCATTTACAACACAATATATCAAGTATGTTACTTATTGCTGCACATTGGTCTTTATATTTTGATGTAAATGTCAATCACATGTTTCTAATTAATATATACATATACACTATACAGCGCTACAATGCATTTTTACTTATGTCATGCAGATGTTTCTTATAAACCAATAAATTCATAAATAAACATATCAATTCATATTAACTGGTTGCCATCCAGCCACTGTGGAAAAATGTCCACAAGATGGCACTGCTGGGCAAAATCACGTTTTAAAACGTGATCCGCGCTCCCGAGGTTTTCACGGGCAGGGAGGGCGCGCACACCCCCCCCCCCGTGGTTGTCACCATTCCATCCCCGAGGGATCAATCATTCGATTTCAGCCAGTGATGTCCTGCTGAAGTTGGATGATCGGTCTCTGTCCTATCCTGTCCTGTGTTGACAGTTACACAGGACAGGATATGATGTAACTCATCTCTGCCTGGGCACATAACGTCCCAGAGAGAGAAGAAGACATACAAAACATAAGTAAAACAGCACATACCGACAGTTAGAACACACCCAGGTCACATTTAACCCATTGATCGCCCCCCCCCCCAGTTAACCCCTTCACTGCCCTGTCACCAGTGTCATTGTTTACAGTGCACAGATTTTTACTGATCACTGTATTAGTGTCACTGGTGACTTCCGATAGTGTTAGCGTCGGTTAGCGCCCCTCCCAGATAGCGTAAGATTGCCCGCTAGTACACCAGTAATCACATTTAACCCCTTGATTCCCAGGAACACGCTCACTTGCACGCTAAACCTCCATTGCTAGTATAGTGTCTGATTGGATCAATATCTTTGATCAGATCAGCACTATACCAGCGTTCTCATTACTTTAGTGTCCCCAAAAACGCAGCGTTAGCGGGATCAGCCCGACACCTGCCAGCACCTGCGTTTAGCCCCGACGCTTACACCCCCCCCCCTTCTCCCCCCAGCAAGTGCAGTGTCAGTAGATAATTGTCACTTGATACATTACACACAAAACCGCAGTGTTCACAGAATCAAGCCTGATCTGTTAGCACTTGTCGGTAAATTTTTTGTAGCGGTTCGAGCAGTCCCTGACAGCCAGGCGCTCTTTTTCCCGTGACTCGCACTAGGTACCTATAAATTCAGTGGCCAAAATGTCCAAGAAAAGGTACTCTAGTGAAGAGGCCTACAGGATTCTGAGCATGTTAGGTGAGAGCAAAGGGGAAGACTCACTGACAGAATCCGCCTCAGAATACGAACCTGTAGACAGCAGCGGCACCCTGACAGTTAGCTCAGACGACGGAGAAGAGGTCCCTTCTAAGATCAGGCGTACCTGACCCCATCTCCAGGTTGCTGAGGTGGTACAAATGCATGATGACTCTCATATGAAGCAGAGTGCCAGTTCTAGTGCCACGCTACCTTTTGGTGAACTGGCGAGCACCAGCTGCCTAGTACGTCCTGACAAGCTGGTGCGGTGGCGAGAACAAGTAGTGTGTCCCGCGGCCACCAAGAATTCGCACACAGGCCCGTAGAGCCCCTAGTATCCTTCCGGATGTGCTTGTACATCCTGATTGGAAGCCCACAAATTCTAAAGCACACTTACTTCCCCCATTCACTGCCCAACCCGGAATTAAGGTGGAAACAGCAAATTTAAATACTCCCCTTAATTTTTTTTTAGCTGTTTTTCACAGATGATCTTTATGCATTGATTGAATGTGCATCAAAGCAATTTACATGCACAACAATTTATCGCCGCCAACCCAAATTCCAACCTTGCCAGACCATTCGCATGGCAACCCATTACGGTTTCCGAATTTAAAGTTTTTTTGGGCCTAACCCTCAACATGGGCATTAATTAAAAAAAAGAATTGCGGTTGTATTGGTCCACAGACCCGCTTCTTCACATGTCCGTATTCTCTGACACCATGGCCAGGTATAGATATGAGACGATATTGCGTTTTATGCACTTTAACGACAACACACTCAGTCGTCCTCGGGGTGACCCTGAATTTGACCGGCTCCGCAAAATTCGGCCCTCGTAAATCACTTTAACCAAAAATTTCCAGATGTGTATACTCCCCATCAAAACATCTGCATCGATGAGTCCCTCATTAATTTTTCTGGCCACCTTTCATTCAAACAGTATATCCCCAGCAAGCATGCCAGATATGGGGTCAAGGTGTATAAGACCTGTGAGAGGGCAACAGGCTATAATGTAAGTTTCGGATTTACGAGGGAAAAGATAGTCATGTGGAGCTCCCCGGATGCCCAGACTACATGGGGAGCAGTGGCAAGATAGTTTGGGACTTGGCGTCATCCTTTTTCTATATGGGGTACCACTTATACGTGGACAATTTTTATTCAAGCGTGCCACTGTTTAAACATTTGTTCAATCTTGGAATTTGTGCATGTGGCACTGTGCGACCTAATCGCAGGGGCTTCCCCCAGCGGCTTGTAAATACCCATCTTAGAAAGGGCAAAAAAGCCTGCTTGAGAAACGAAGAATTGCTCGCAGTGAAGTGGAAGGAAGGACAAACGGGATGTTTTCGTCCTGTCTTCCATTCACGCAGATACGACCATCCAAATTGCCACGGCAGTTGGTTTTGTTGAGGAGCCCTTAACATGGGGAGGGGTGGACTTCAACGACCAGATGATGAAGCCGTACTTTGTTTCCTGAAAAGCCAGACGCTGGTACAAAAAAGTGTCTGTTTATTTATTTTCAATTGGCTATAAATAATGCTTTTGTTCTTTACAAAGCAACTGGAAATAGTGGATCCTATCTAAAATTCCAGTTAGAGATCATCAGGACCCTTTTGTATCCAGAAGGTGCTATGCCCCAAACCCCCAACCCAGATGCAGCTAGCAGGCTGCATGAGAGGCATTTTCCCAATGCCATTCCTGGTACCCCAACCCAAAGAAGACCCCCAAAAAGATGTTGTGTCTGTAGCAGACATGGAATTAGGTGTGACAGTCGCTTTTGCTGTCCCTCCTGTCCTGATCAACCTGGCCTCTGCGTCAAGGACTGCTTCCTCCTCTACCATACACTAGTGAACTATTAGTATAGGGTACAGCACGGCACAGTTCAGGGCACATTTACACAGGGTCTCAAAAGATGTTAGGTAGTCAGGAAACTGGCTAACGCATTTGGAGAGACCCTACCATCTGTTTTTAACATGTTAAAAGTTTGAAAAAAAAAAAAAAAGTTAAAATAAATAAATAAAAAAGTACATATCCCCAAAGAAATTAAAAATTTTAAAAACCAAAAATAGTTATAGTTTTTTTTGTTGCCATTTTTGTTATTGTTCTACTTTTTACTTTTTTTTGTTACTGTTTTATTGTTAACCTTTGCTGTTTGCAGGAATGCTTTCAGCTGCAGCACTGACCTGTTTATTCTGACAGCAACAGGAACTTGCTCTCAGAATATACATAAATCAGTGTGGGCAGCACTGTCGGATGGGATTTTTTATCCACAGTTAAAAAAAGAGCATATATGCCGAAGCATGGGGGCCTGGGGTGGCCAGTGGGTGGATGGCCCCTATGCTTCGGCATATATATTTTTATATTTGTTGGCACATTTCATGTGTGCCCACCATTAGAAGTGGGTGGATAAAGGGAGGTTTTCTAATGGTGGGCATACCACCACACACTTTTCCTTGCAGAGATATTTCAATTATAAAGTTGTTTTATTGAGTTACTGTTTTATTGTTAACCATTGTTGATTTTTCTTTGCAGAAATGTCAAACTGCAGCACTGACTTGTTTATTCTGACAGCAACAGGGGGGGTCTTGCTCTCAGAATATACATAAGTAGGTGTGTGCAGTACTGTCGGATGAGATTTTTCATCCGCAGTTAAAAAAAGAGCATATATGCCGAAGCATGGGGGCCTGGGGTGGCCAGTGGGTGGATGGCCCCTATGCTTTGGCATATATATTTTTATATTTGTTGGCACATTTCATTTGTGCCCACCATTAGAAGTGGGTGGATGCAGGGAGGTATTCTAATGGTGGGCATACAATACACTTTTTCTGGCAGAGATTTCTTCTCTTTTTTTTTCCCATTCAGCCCACAGACTGCATAAAGAAAAAAAGAACATAGCATATACACCCAACAAGGACCAGCGACGTACTGGTGCATCACTGGACTTTGAATGGTTACACGCATCATCCTGGTATCATTTTTTTTTTTTTCAGCCGACAATGGGCTTTCATGTAAAAGCAATCCTAGTGGCTAATAGCTGCAGGATTGCTTTTACAAGCAGTGGGAGAAAATGCCCCCCCCCGCCTACCTTCCACAGCCTTCTCGGGCAGTCCTGTGCCATCGGGGAAACCTGGGAATGCAGCCGGTGTTTCTGCCAGCTAATCATAGAGCTGATTGGAGACCGGAATGGTCTAAGAAATCAGAAGCTACGAGCATTTCATCACTTCAGTTGCACACGATATAAACAGCGCCATTTGTAAATTATGAAAGCATCTGATCACACAGATCTTGGTGAGATTAGATAATGTAAGGGCAGAGGAGATATCTAGAGTATGATAGACTCTAGATTTCTCAAAAAAGAATATATGATAATGCCCATTGAAGTTATAGGGAATATTTGAATTCCCTGTGATAGCATTAAAAGTGATAAAAAAAAAATTAAAGTGTAAAAATAATTAAATAAATCGGAATAACAAAAAAAAAGTACCCTCACCAACCCACCCCTCGCACGCACGCACCTGCGGTCGTGAACGTTGATCCTATGCCAGTATGGAAACAGCGATTGCACCATGCATGTGAGGTATTGCCACGAACGTCAGATCAAGGGCAGTAATTATAGCTCTAGACCTCCTCTGTAAATCTAAAATGGCAGCTTGTAAAGGCTTTTAAATCGTTGCCTATAGATATTGAAAATGTATGCAGTTTGACACCATTGCACGGGGCATGTGCAATTTTAAAGCATGTCATGTTTGGCATCTATTTACTCAGCATAGCATCATGTTTTATATCTTACTAAATAAGTGGCCAATATATTCTGTTTTTGTGCATTAAAATTAAAAAAAGTGTATATTTTTTTAAAAAAATTGCATTTGAAAAATCGTTGTGTGAGTACTATGTGAGATAAAAAATTGCAGCACCCACCATTTTATTCACTAGGGTGTCTGCTCTAAAGAAATGTATTATGTTTGGGGGTTCAAATTAATTTCCTAGCAAAAATACTGATTTTTTTAATGTGAAAAAAAAGTGTCAGAAAAGGCTTGGTCTTCAGGTGGTTAGAAGAGTGAGTGATGTGTGGCATAAACTTCTAATGCTGGGAATAAAATGCCCCCACCCCCCCCCCAAATGACCCCTTTTTGTAAAGTAGACACCCCAAACTATTTGCTGAGAGGCATGTTGAATCAATAGAAGAATTTTTTTTTTTTTACAAGTTTTTGGAAAATGACAACAAAAAAAAAACATTTTACACAAAATTGTCATTTAAATAATTTATTGCTTACACATGCCATAGGTATATGTGAAATTTCTCCCCCAAATACATTCTGCTACTTCTCCCGAGTATGGAGGTACTACATGTGAGAGACGTTTTGGCAGTCTAGCCAAGCAGAGGACCCCAAAATCCAATAAGCACCTTCAAGCTTTTAAAGGGCTTTATTTCCTCATTACACTTCCTGACTACCTATCACAGTTTCGGAGGCTCTGGAATGCCAGAATAGCACCAAACCCCCCCCAAATGACCCATTTTTGGAAAGTAGACAACCTAAGGAATTTGATAAGAAGCATGGTGAGTGTTTTGCAGATCTCGTTTGTTGCCACAAGTTTTTGGAAATTGAAAAAAGAAAACAAAAACATATTTTTTCTTTTCTTTTTTTATATTTCAAAACCTTGTGAGAAAAAATGAGATCTGCAAAATACTTACCATGCCTCTATTTAAATTACTTGGGGTGTCTACTTTCCAAAAAGGGGTCACTTGGGGGGGGGGTTGGTGCTATCCTGGCATTTCAGGGCCTCCGAAACTGTGATAGGTAGTGAGGAAGTGAAATGAAGAAGTTACGCACCTTCAGGCTTTCAAAGTGGTCATTGGATTTCAGGCTCCTGCATGTAGATAGGCTCCCAAAAAGTCTCACACATGTGGTATCCCCATACTCAGTAGAAGTGGCAGAATGTATTTTGGAGTGTAATTCCACATATACCCATGGCTTTTGTGAGCAATATATAATTTACGTGACAACTTTGTGTAAAAAAAAAAAACAAAAAAAGGTTTTGTCATTTTCCAAAAAGTTGTGGAAAAAAAATAAATCTTCCATGGACTCAATATGCCCCTCAGCAGATAGCTTAAGGTGTCTACTTTCCGAAAAGGGGTAATTTGGGGGTGTTTGTACTATCCTGGTATTTTAGCACCTCAAGAAATGTGATAGGCAGTCAGAAAATAAAAGCTGTGTAAGTTTCAAATTATCTATACCATAGTTTGTAGACGATATAACGTTCACACAAAGCAATCAATATACACTTACTGCGATTTTTGTTTACCAAAAACATGTAGCAGAATACATTTTGGCCTAAATTTATGACGAAAGTTTAGTTTTTTTGGATATTTTTTTATGACGGAAATTAAAAAATATTGGTTTTTTTTCAAAATGTTTGGTCTTTTTATGTTTATAGTGCGAAAAATAAAAAGAGCACAGGTGATTAAATACCACCAAAAGAAATCTCTATTTGTGAGAAAAAATGGACATAAATTTCATTTATGTACAGCATTGCATGACCGCGCAATTGTCAGTGAAACCACTGCAGCGTTGTATAGCAAAAAATGGCATAAATTACAGTATCTATACTATAGTTTATAGACACTATAACTTTCACACAAATCAATCAATATACACTTATTGGGATTTTGTTTTTACCAAAAACATGTATCAGAGCACATTTTGGCTTAAATTTATGACTAACTGAGTTTACTATATATTTTTTTTAGCTGAAAGTAGAAAATATAATTTTTTTTCGAAATTTTCGTGTTTTTTTTGTTTATAGCGCAAAAATAAAAAGCGCACAGATGATCAAATACCACCAAAAGAAAGCTCTATTTGTGTGAAAAAAAGGACGTAAATTTCATTTATGTACAGCATTGCATGACCGCGCAATTGTCAGTTAAACTAGTGCAGCGCTGTGTAGCAAAAAAAGGCATAAATTACAGTATCTATACCATAGTTTGTAGACGCTATAACTTTTACACAAAGCAATTAATATACACTTATTGGGTTTTTAATTACCAAAAACATGTAACAGAATCCATTTTGGCTTAAATTTCTGACTAACTTTGAGTTTACTATATATTTTTTATAGCTGAAAGTAGAAAATATTGTTTTTTTTTCCAAAATTTTCAGTCTTTTTTTGTTTATAGTGCAAAAAATAAAAAGCGCACAGGTGATCAAATACCACCAAAAGACAGGTCTATTTGTGTGAAAAAAAAGTATGTAAATTTTGTTTGGGTACAGCATTGCATGACCGCGCAATTATCAGTTGAAGTAGTGCAGCGCCAAACAACAAAAAAAGGCCTGGTCATTAAGGGGGGTAAATCCTCAGGAGTGCAAGAAGTTAATAGAGCTCAGTGCTTAACTGCTTAATGACTGCCCTATAGCAGATATACTGCTACAGGGTGGCACCTGTGCGCAGAATCACGTATTTATACATGATTTTGCATTTCCGGGAAGAGGGCGCGCGGCTGCGGATGTCAGTCACTGGGTCCCAGCTAGTAATTACCCGACGGCACCCAGTGATTACCGAGCATCTCCGACGGGGAAGATTGTTTTGTTTACAATCTTCCTCCCTGTCAGCTCGAGCACACTGCTTGGGATGGCTGTGCACAGTACAGCCATTCCGATCAGTGTGCGTACAGTGAAGAACACACCCCTGCCCCCTAGTAAAACACTCCCAGCACACAGTTAATCCTTTGATCGCCCTTCACATTAACCCCTTCCTGCCCAGTGTCATTAGTACAGTGTCAGCGCTTTTTTTAGCGCTGATCACTGTATGGTGTCACTGGGGTGTCAGTGACACCAAGTTATTTCACCCCAATGTCAGAATGTCAGCTGCAGTCCCGCTAAAAGTCCCTGATCGCCATTACTAGTAGAAAAAAAAATCCCATTATCTATACTGTCATTTGTAAACGCTATAACTTTCACGTAAACCAATTAATTTACATGTATTGGGATTTTTTTTTTTCAGCAAAGACGTCGCAGAATACATTTTGGCCTACATTTATGATGAAATTTGATTTTTTTAAATTTTTTTACTAGACATGTTTAATAGCAAAAAGTCCAAAATATTGTTTTTCTCAAAATTGTCGGTCATTTTTTGCTTATAGCTCAAAAAATAAAAAAGAGCACAGGCGATCAAAGACCACCGAAAGAAAGCTCAATTCCTGGAAAAAAAAGGACGTAATTTTAATTTGTAATGCAGAGCCATAACACAACAAAAAATGTCCTGGTCGTGAATGGGGATAAATCCTCAGGAGGGCAAGTGGTTAATAATAAAGTGCTATGAGTAAACAAATCTTAAACAAATAAATAAACAAAAGTGTCCAGAGCTTCAATCAAACCATTCAACAACCGAAGTGTCCAGTGTGTCCAGTTCATTCAATATTCAAAGTGCTTAGTGTTCTCCAGCTTCATCAAACCCGCTGCCAATTTTATACATAAAGTGCTCCACAACACACATGGGTTGACTTACCAAAACTGGAGAATGTAACACTCGTGAAGCTGTGCATGGTAAGCTTTGATGAAAAAAAAACTGGACGCTGATTGGTTTCTATGCAGAGCTGTACCAGTTTTTGACCTCACCAGTTTTAGGCAATCAACCCCACGGTGTGCCTCTTCTTCACCAGTGCTTCCTTCCATCTATATCATCACCTTCACACCAGTGAGAACTCACCAGTTTGTTTGACCCTTGTTCTTAATAACTGGATCAAACAGTGTTTTTTCCCCCCAAGAAGGATCCTGCTCCTTTAGGATTCTTCACCGCTACTGGTCAGTATGTTCCCTAATGTGTACATTCAGACTGCCCGTAGGAAAAGGCAAAAAAAATGCCCACATAGCAAAAAATGATTTTTTATTTAAGACTCATATTGCATAAAACCAATCCTACTCACAATGCTCTGTGCTGTATCCCAGCACTCAGATAAATTGTTTACTCCTGTATGGTTGCCGACTCCACTATACTCCCGAGTGAGCCCAGCTCCTCCGTGCGGCATGACGTCAGTGCCTGTAGCTTTACGTCTGCATATTTTGCATACAACGTCTTCAGGGAGTAGTGTTGCTATGTGTCTAAAGTTTTGTTTATTATGTATAGTATAGCCACCATTCCTATCCTGAGAAAGCAGAATTACCTGTAAAGCATCTTGAGAAGTGAAGGGATG